TAATAGGTAATCTTCTTGGAATATTGAAGTGCAAGCAAGTAAGAAGAGCAAAAAAAATAAAAGACTTAGTGTTTCCGGTTTAGCGTCCAAATAGAAACCTGACTGTTTACCTTAATCTCTGGACCTTACCTGTAAAATGGAGAAGACCATGCCTTTTGAGACTAGATAACATTAAGATAAATTCATTTGCTTGAAGCAATACTTCAAGTTCTGAATAAAACAGTTTATATTTAGCCTTGTTTACAGTATCCTATTAAATACGGTAAACTAACATTTTGAACGGATAAGGAAAGATTTCCCGAGAGTAGGAGGGAGGGACATGGTATATAACTGTGTAGGTTCATAAGCAGGTTGCTATTAAATCTTAATTCTTAAACTATGTGAAGCTAATCTGAATGTTCTGTTTTACTGAATTTAACCTAACTTTAAAGCAAGCTAGGAAAAAAAGTCCATTTTATGGAATCAGGATGACCTCCTCATGGAGTTATTTAATGGGTTCAAACTGGCTGATGTGCACCACAGAATTCTCTCATTTGAGCTAATGGAGTAGGCAGTAGTAGGAGTGATTAGGGTAAGGGATCACAAGATGGATGGAGCTGTCCCCTCCACACCTGTTGAATTTTGCAGTTATTTGACCAGAAGAAGGTAGGGATTCAGGACTTCACTCCTGCATTTGGTTCAAGGATCTGGAGGGTAGTATGATCGTGTGTGTGTCCACTTTTTTCCTCTCTACTTCTATTCCACTGTCCTATTGCCTCACCATTTTTTATTTAATTTATTTATTTATTTTATGTCTTAATTGAGATGCTTCTTCCTCTTCACTGCCTGGGTACTAGCAGAGGGAACATAAAGTACAGAGACAATCCCTTGTGGGCTCATGGCCCTGATTCCTAGTACCACAGCAGTTCAAAGCAGCAATTTCAAGGAAAGTCCTGCTGGGCCCCTACAACTGTGGGGTAGAACATACTCCTTCATTTTGTGGATAAGGTGCTTGGCAGTTCTGTCATATAGGAGCTATACAGGGCTGGAGCTTGCTCAGCATAGGTAGAGTACAGTAAAAGTTGTGTTAACTGGCCTTTAAGTAACCAGAACACTCTATTAAACTGGAATGGACATGGAGGGGCCAAACTTGCACGTGGGGGGAAAGCTTGGGATTTTTTGGTTTTGGACTAATACAGGGATTGTCAACCAGGGGTACACGTACCCCTGAGGATACTTAGGACAGCTCCACGGGGTATGTGCGGCGGCACAGGGAAGCGGCACATGGCAGCGCAGAGTGGTGAATGGTGGCAGCCGCATGCGATCTCCCTGTCCCCCATCGCCGCCATTCACCACTCTGTGCTGCCGCTGTGCGCCACTTTCCCTGTGCTTCATGTCTGGCTGGTCGTGCGTCTGCAACCCCCGCAACCTTCTGGCCTGGAAAGAGGTACAGTCCAGAAGGGGTACCCACCAGAAGGGGGTACGCTCCTTAAAGGTTGAAAACCCCTGGACTAACATCGTGCATGGTTTGTACTATGTATAAGTAAGTACAGAAGTGGTGTTCTAAAGTGTGTTTATACAGTACTTGTGCTAAAACTTGCAGCAGTTTTCAGAAAAGGTAAAGCACATGAATTCTGGATGAACTAAGTCTATGGGTACCTGTAATAATTTGCCTATATGCAAGTTACTACAGGTGAATTTATTTGGCCCCTCACTTCCACTTGCTCAGGCAGAGCAGGGTCTGACAGTAAGGGGGACTGCAGGGGGAAGAATTTGGGGAAGGGGTGGACAGAAGGCAAGGTGGCCACCTGACCCCTTCTGATTTTTTTTTCTCTTTCCTCCCATCTCCTGGTACTTGTAGTGGGAGGGGGATAAATTCAGCACAATCCTCCAATAATTAAATTCTGTAGCTGGAAAACTATAATGAATTTATAATTTTTTCCATATATAGAATCTAATTATTGTGGAGGTCATCTTGTATTCAAGGAAATACAGTAATGGGAAGTGGTGAGCAGTCTTTGCAGTAGACAAGGCATATAGCAGTACTTATGTTTTTCTAACCTGGCCTACTTGCCAGTGATTAGTAGGTACTGTAGCTGTTCCTGGCAAATTTGCAGGCCAAGTCAAATGCTGCCAAACTGTTCATGGATGGGGTGACCATAATCATTTTAGGGAAATCCAGGACAGGGGGTGAGTTGGTGCATGCGTGCACATAACCTCATGGCTCTTGGGAGTGGAGTGGGGTGGGGTGGGGTGGGAGAGCACAGAGGCCTATGGCCAGTCTTCATCCCCTGCCTGCAGGGGCTGGACTCGGCTGGGAGCAGCCCCTGTGCAGTACCTCCCAGGCTCTGACAGCCTCTTGCACAGCCACATGACGCCTCTGCTGGCAGCTGGTGGGGCAGAGCCCTGAGCCACCCCCCATGCACAGGTCTGCAGCAGGTGGGAAGGGTGGAGGAACCTCTGCTTCCCTTAGGGCAGAGGTCTGAGCCATCCCTGTTCCCCTGGGAAACCCTGTCCTCACCTGGGCTGCTCCCTGGTCCGGACTCAGCTGGGCTGCAAGCTGGAAGTCACTTGCCCAGTAGAGTTGGCCAGGAGCTGGGCATGTGCAGGCAGGTTCGTGCTAATCCAGAACTTCTGCTTCACTTTTCTTCAGGAAGCCCAGCCAATGGGCAGCTCACTGCTCCCGACTCCACTGGGCTGTAAGCAGAGTCCCTTGCTCAATAGTCAGTCAGGAGCAGCATGTGTGGGCAGGTTCCTGCCAATCCGGGACTTTTGCTTCTATTTTCTTTGAGACCGCCTATGAAATCCGGGATGTACAGTTACCCTATTCTTGGAGAAAGCATTTTGATTTTAATTTTGTAATAATACAGTGACGTCACTTTGAATTTGCTGATAGAAATCAATAGTGTCTATCCTGTTCGTAGCTTGCTTTATCCAGCTAGGACATGTGGGGCAACTTTTTTATTAAGGTGTATGAGCTTAGGACACTTGTATGTAGAGGGGTGGTGGGCAGATGGGGATGAGCCTGAGTCTACACTCTATCTACTTGCACCTCATCAAAAGAAGCAGAAAACCCCTTCCAACACCCTAGGGTATCTAAGCACCTTGGTTAAGAATCGCTGGTCTAGAGAATACAACCCATATTTGAAGGGAAGCATGCAAATAAATCTAAGTATAATCCATAGATCTGAACTGATGCCTTTTTTTCTCTTTTCTTTCTTTTTTTTTTTTTAAGTAACATAGTGGAGTCTTTTTGTACATTTTTACTGTAGAGTCACGAGGGAGGAATTTGCAGTTTCAGCAACATATTGGGCCTCCTTAAACCCTGTTGTTCCCTGGCTGGCTGGTCTTCTGTTGACACTCCAGTTTCGGCAACTGTCCCAAATGCAGAATAGATGCAGTAAAGCTAGTAAGTGTAATCCTTAATGAGCTGCTACTTCAGAGGAAAGGAGATTGGAGTCCTATGTGGATGATCACATTTTCTGGTGTCACTTATATTACTAATGTATACCAACATACAGGCACCAGGTTAGGAACAGATAGCTGCATGTAGTAGGTAGCTATTACAGGGCTTTGCCCCTTGGCATTTATTAAGGGAACAGGTAATAGCTTGTCTGAATTTAAATAATTTGCTACTGCAGGATGGACATAGGCAAACAAAGCCTGAACCTGTGTAACTGGTCAGGTATTGACCGCAATGTGTTGTTTTTTTCATTCGGGAGTAATCATCCACTCCATTGGATGAAGTTACTGTGGTTGAGTTAGTTGCACCATTTACCCACTTTATGTTGGGCCTAACTAACTTCCATATTGGTCCCATGTCTTGTTGGAGATAAGAAACTGGGATTGGAAATTGCTCAGGATTTCTACATGGCAATATAAATTACTAATGGTTAGATGAACTTTGTGGCTGGAATAAACTAAAGCAGCAATGTTTTTGGGCAGTGCTATAAACACCTGCAACCTCGACTTGTAAGATGCTGTTGTGCCAGGGATGGAGAGCGGGGCAGTCATGAGGGGGCCCAATCCTTGTTGTGGCAGTGCAGCCCCAACTCCTTCTCCACCATCTGCCCCAAGGCGCGTGTGCCAAGCAAAATGCCTTGACGTGCCACACTGGCACCTGTGCCGGGGATTGCCTACCCCTGAACTAGAGCATGTCCTTCAATGTAAGAGGGTTTCTACAATGCCTTATTACTTTTACTAGAGCTCTAGTGTCATTTCTTAAAATCTCGGTGGATAGACTGGCAAATTGTTAATGACTAAGTTTAGTGACAGTTTGGTAAATAAGGAATGAAACATGTTTTGCATGAGTTTATTGTAGGATAAAAACAGATAGGTAAGTTTTCATCCAGGTTAATGGGAATTACTGAAATATTATTACTTTAGTGCTGCTGCTAAAATTAAAAACATTACAGTAATTTATTTTCGTGCTCTTCAGATAACTGACTGTTATGTATTAAGTCTTTTTTCCCTTTAGATTGGAGAAAGAAACCTGCTGCTGCAAGTGCAGTTCATTTTTAAACTTTTATTGAAATCTCCGCTTCTGAAATGGAAGACTGCTATAGTGATATCTGCTCTCTTCATTAAGCTTTATTAAAAAAAAATCTACTGAATGTAGTAAGACAAACATGGCTCAGTCTCACCCAACACTGTGAGTGGGGGGTGGGGGTGAGGGGTGTGCTTTGTAGTAAAGAGTAGGGGGGTTCCTCTTACTGAGCCTAGAAAAATCTGTGAAGCAATATGGGTTTTTTTTATTTTGTGCATCAAGTGATTGTTACGGTGCCAGATGTTGATGCAGTTACACCTGTATAACCTCCTCTGAGGCAGTGAGGCTGTACAAGTCTAACCAAGAAAACAATCATATAGAAATAATCTATTGCTAGCAATGTGAAATGGAGCACAGGTAGACATTAAGGCCACATCCACACGAGCAGGGGCATGCGTTTGCAGCAGCACAAATAGTAGCGGCACAGATTTGTGCCACTACTTGATGCTGCAGTGCACGCCCCTGCTCTGTGCTTTGCAGTGTGGCCAGGGCTGCCTGCTCCCTTGTCTCAAGGTACACTGCACCCCAGCTGCCAGGGAGCCAGATGGCTGGGGTGGAGGATGGCTCCGCATGGGGGCTCCACAGCATGTGGAGTTGGGGAAGCAGGTGGCCTTGGGTTGCCTGCTCCCCCATCTCCATGTTTGTCCTGGTGCACGCCACTGTTTTGCACTGATTTTTTCTTCCGTTTTTTTTTTTTGATAACTGGGAAATCCTGGTTGCAAATTTTGTCCTGGCACTGCAGATTAGTAGTACCATGCACAGTTTAACGTGCAGTGTGTGTGGTTTGTGGTGCTGCAAAGAGGTTTGTGGTGCCATAAATCGCACATGCCTGTACATCTGGATCTGGCCTAAGACGCCAGAGGTAGTTAAGGGTTACTGGATGGAAAAAGTCTCAAACTTCTGTGTATGTCTGTGTGTGAGACTAATATTAAAAGAAGCATCACAACAGTGTTGCAGACACTGCGGTTGCTCTGACTGAAGACTCAAACAGTACATTTATCTAGAAATCTAGTATTCATATATCTTACAGGTCATATTAAGTTGCATTTAACTGCTCTTCTGTTTTGAGTAGTTTTTATAATTTTTGCTAATAGTTTGAAAAAAAAAAAAAAATTGGTAACCTACATGCCACTCTAAGTTCTAGTGTTTATAGTTCTTGGTCTGGGAAACTATTGGGTGAAATTGAGGAAAATAACGAACAACTATGTCAAAGCAGGAAAACTATTATGGCTCTAGATTCAAAATAAGGTCAGGATGTTTCCTGGATTTTTTTGTCCTTCTGAGAAGGTCGGGCAGAAATGCTCTTGCCTTCTTTCTCAAAAACCTATTAATCAGAAACCTACGTACAGATTTCTCAGAAACCTCCTCACAGATTCAGTCTTTGCGTATTGTCTAATAGCATTGGTTTAAGATTGGCTGTCTCTGCAATACTTTTGGCACATGATATCCTTGTAGCGCAAGACAAATTAGTGATATGATTTCCTTGTGGTGGGCACCTCAGTTACGTCTACCCAACACCAGCCCTGACAAGTGATGTTACAAAATAAAAGCAAAGGTTTGAGAAGTAAGGAGTGGGTACTTAAAAGTATTGCTTTGTTCCCCAGAATCTTTGCTTTTAGTCTCTGATGGACAATAGATTTAATAAAACACTTAAATGTTACTGAAGCATAAATGCAGCATCGGTTGAGCTACTGCATATCTGTTTGTATCTAACAATGTGATGCACTGGGCTGGTACTGCTTTAACTAAGGATGTGCCACTTTTGTGGTAATGTTGCTATGGCAACTACCTTCTAAGAGCTGCCTCAAGGTCACTGTCAACATCAGTCATGGCCTTCAGTGCTTGCTTTATAAGCTAATATCACCACCCAATAAAATATAGTAAATGGTTACTTTTCAGATTTATTCCGCATACTCATGTTAGATTAAACACAGTAATAGTATAGATAAAACAAATATCAAGGCAGTAGTTAGTATGGCAAAAAAGCAACTTTAAACAGTGCAGCTTTTGCATCTCCTAACTTCTGCCACACATGAACACACCAACTTGAGGACTTTGTATTAAAGAGCTATGCAAAAAAATATAATAAGACACCTAATTTAAAACATGAGCAAACAATATCGTTTGCTGTATCTAGATTGTGTAAGATGCAGATCTATAGAAGCACTTAAGCAGAATTTTAGGAATCCAAGCTGCATTTTAGGGGGGATTTCTAGAGATCATTCTTTTAGACTTAAGCACCTAATTGCTTTGCTTTGGACCTGTGTGTTCAAGGCCTCTGCTACACGGTGCAAGTGGATCTAATGTATGATCTACACAATCGTGCTTCCTACCATGGTACATGTGCAAGGCAGGAGCCGCAGTTGTGGGGTTGCACGTTGGTTCCAATTGAACCATATTGCTGGTGCAGGGGGAGTCTGATCTTGGGCGGTCCCTGGCCTGGCAAGAAGCAGGCTCACAAGGCCGCAGGGACCCATGTGCAGCTGGAGCCAAGAGACGCCACAACTGATGGGGTGACTGGTCCTAGCTATGCCTCACTTGCCCCAGGACAGAATCCTTCAGCTGACAGGGCTCTCAGTCCCAGCTATGCATGGGGTGCACCCTGGACTAGGAGCCCCACCAGTTGCAGGTTGTAGGAATCGGTCTTAGCTGTGAATGAGGCACAGCTAGGACTGGGCGCTGCCTCAGTTGTGGGGCATTTGGTCCCTGCTGCAGGTGAAGAGCCAGACTGAGAGCCCTGTGTGTGCTAGAGGTCTTTTTTCCCTCCTCCTGGCTTTCTCACCCCCCCCGCCACCTTGGGGATCACAGCAGCTGCAATCTCTGGGGCTCAGGGTCTTCAGTCTGGGTAAGGTGTACCCCTGTGCCTGGGAGCCCTGTCAGCTGACGGGGCTCCTGGCCACAGGGGAGACCCTGCTACATGTGCAAATGAAAGCTGCATAGCAACCAGCTGTAAAGTTAGTACACATTTTCCAGGTCTAACTTGATAGATGGTTGGAGCTTTTATTGTGTGATAGCTACTTTGTGCTTGTAGCTAGTCT